AGATTTTCTATTTTGGCAGGCGCAATGGGGAACCTGCTTCTCCTTCTCCCTCTGCCCCCCCTCCCCCGCTCATGCTCACTCTCAAAATAAATAAATAAAATCTTTTTAAAAAAGATTTTCTATTTTTAAGTCTTTTCCCCCTTAAAACATTATCTATTTAATATTATTTCTCAAATTGTTACTGTAAAGTCACTATATTGTTTTTGTATAATTTCTTATCACCATCTTTAAATTTACTATATTTCTAGTTTGATTTGAGTGACCTAGTTTCATTCAGATAACATGAATTGATGAAAAATTGATGAAAAATTGATGAAAAATTGAATTACAAGATGTTATAAATGCAATTCATTTCCATGTATAAACTCAAGCTAGGCTGACAAATTTCTGCTTCCACATAGGTCCCAGTGTTAATGACTGCCTGCAGCTAGGCTGGGGCATGAGAATAAGCATCTGTATCACAGAATTTTCTGATTAAAATGACCTCAAAGTTTATCCTGTCCAACTTTCCACTCAGTTCAGAATTCTCTCCTCAATATCCTACACTAATGGTAGTATTCGCCTTGAATGAGAGGCACATAGTGATGGTTTACAGTCTTCACCTATCAATGTTTCCTTTAAATACTCCTTTACTCTGTTCATTTGCTTACCAAAATATCACTGCAGCATTAGTTAAGAGCTTAACTTCAGTGCAGCCCAAATCTGAATAGATTTTCTGTGTATACCCAAGAGATAGAGATGTATGCAAGGGCACAAGGAGAGAGTGAATCTGACCAGTCAGCATAAGAATTACACATGTCTAGACTATACTCATTAACTACCTCCCCCTTCCCCCCAAACACACACATAGGGAAGGAAAAGAAGAGCAGACCTCAAGTAACATTCCCCAGGTAACTTGCAGATGGCTTCAGAAGGAGACCTGAAGGAAAGTTTAGGAGAGTGAAAAAATGTTTATGAAATGTGCAAGGTGGATTGAAAGCATTATCAGGGTGAGGTGGGAGGCAGGGAGGGCAGTGGCGGGAGATGAGGCCAGAAAGAAGAAAGTGGACCCCGGAAGACTGTGAAAACCTTGTCAGTCCAAAGCCTAGGAATGGCATGGTCAGGTGTTTCATTTGCAAATCTCCCTCCAGAAACGGTGCCGCGGACTGGCAGTGCGCACATGGAGACTGAACAAGCAAGCATCTTAGTGAAGCTTCCTGTGGTATCCAAGCTGTAACAAGTTCTACTCTCATCTCTGAAGCCTTAGAGTTAAGGTGTCCTTAGGCGAGAATCTAAATACTAGCTTTTATTCACTTTTTCAATATCTGTATTAGGTATAACCCAGTAAAAACTGAATGAATTATTTGAGACCAAGGAGAGAAGATAGCCTAAATTAAAGAAAAGTCAGATACCCAAAAATACAGAAGGAACCATTAAGTTGGAGTTACACTGGGGAATGTAAATGGGGTGAAATGAGTAGTTTTTACTTTTTCCCCTATCTGGTTCTATCCTGTCATTTGTTGAAATCGTGAGCATACATTACATTTTTTAAATAAAAATAGTTAATAAATTAAAGCAAGGCATTTTTATTCATTTGAAGCCCATATGTTGTTAACTGGGTGTCAAAGTTATAGGAGGTGACTCATTTTTAAGAGCAATTTGCAAACAAGGGGCAAATATCCTTAATGATTCTGTTCTTTAAAACATATAAATATCACCCTTTGTAATATAGCAAAGGCAAGTTAATTTCTATTCCAAAATGAGTTATCAAAATTCAGATTCATTGGGTTAAAAATTGGAAAATTTATGGCAAGGAAAATGGATGATGTATTGCTGGTTTCCTTCGAGGTTGACCTTTAATCTTATGATTGTGGAAGCAGCAAGCCTTCCATTAAAGCTTAGTGCTCAAAGTGGGAGGAGAGGCTGGGGAGAGGGGAGGTGAGCCTGAAAAAAGAAACATAACCATACTCTATACATTTTAGCAACTCTATCATTCTGAGCTAAGAAAATAATCTTTCTCAACCCAAATGAATTTTATCCTAGGCGAGATAGAAAAAAACTAAATACCTAAAAATCTAGTTTTAATCTTTTTCCTGTGCAGCAATATCAGGTATTAAATCAGTATTTGCCTCAATCATCACTGCTTGCCTGTGGTTTTTGTTTGGTCTCTTATGGGGACCAGACTGTGGTTTGGGACATTCACAGGGACTGTGAATGTTCTACATCATTTCTACATCACTAGGTGGTAGCCTTGTAAGCTTATGGCCAATTGACTATAACTTATGTTCCCAGAGAAGTGGCATAGTTTAGTGCTTACCACGAACCCAAGAACCAAGTTGCGTGAGGTTAAGACCAGGCTTTACTACTAACTAGTTTTGTGAACTTGGACAAAGAGCCAGTTTCTGTATCTCAATTTCCCATCAATAAAATGGAGACACTAGAATCTAATGGGGAGGAAGCTGAGAGAATTAAACAGCTTACTTCTTATTAAGTGTTTAAAACCTTGCCTGGCACACACAGTAAGCTTCCTGGAAGTATTAACTGTTTTCATACAGCCAAAGAAAACCCTTTGCCAGGTTTAGAATCTCCTTAGCGCAGACTCAGCATGCAGCCATAGGATTGAACTGATGACCATAACCAAACCATTGCCTCTTGAATACATACTTGTTATGGACTGAATGTTTGTGTCTTCTCAAAATTCATATGTTGAAACCTAATCCCCAATGTGAAGATATTAGGAGGTAAGGCCTTTGGGTAGTGATTAGGTCACGAAGATAGAGCTCTCATGAATGGGATTAGTGCCCTTGTAAAAGAGACCCCGGAGAGCTCCTTTGCTCTTCTGTCATGTGAGGACACAGGGAAGAGACTACTGCCTACATGAAGCAGGAAGCAGATTCTAACCAGACACAGATTCTGCCAGAACCTTGGTCTTGAACTTCCCAGCCTCTATAACTGTGAAAAATGAATTTCTGTTGTTTATATGCCACCCGGTCTGTGGCATTCTGTTATAGCAGCCCGGATGGACTAAGACAAAACTCAAGGATCACATTTACCAATATTGGAAACTTCTGGACAAATCTCAGGAATTCAGATCTTCTGAGAGACCCATAAGAGTATTCTAACACATGCTTCTGGGTTCTTTCATCAGAACAGCATAAATTTGGGTTAAAAAATTATATAATGCTACTTCACTGGATAACTTACTTCATTCTCAAAGTCAGGCCAGTTTTAGTTAAACCTTTGGTCAGAATGGATATGGCCTAGAGCAGTGTTTATCAAGACAGAACAGTCACAAAGGCGCTTTAGATCTATTTTAACTTCTCAGGTGCTCCTATAACCTCTGATTATGTCCAAGGGCTGCGTTGGGCCTCCTGAGACAGTCCATGGCATGTTTAAAATGATTATTAGTAAGTCCTCTAAGCTAAACTTCATCTCTCTATTCTTTTGCTTTTTGGGGTTACACAAAGTAGTCATTTGTATACATGATAATACTTAGAATATTTAAAGTCAGTTAAAGTAGATTCTCCTAGGGATTATGTACTTGAATTAACTTGTAAAGTAATACTTTCTTATAATCAAATTTACTCATGAAAATCTTTTAAGTTGCTCACAAAGTAAAATCCTATTAAAGCTGATTTTACCTCCTGGGTTGGAGGATTGTTCTTTTGGCTGGTCTGTAGATGAAGTGGTTGGCTAGCAGTTAGGAGCCAGATCCCATGAAAAATACTTACCTTTATTCATTTGGCGTAAATGCGTATCATTGAAATTATCCATATGATGTAATACTATGAAATATTTTAGTATTTTCCACTAAACAAACAAACAAACAACAACACCCACTTATCTTCAACACACCAGGCATTGTGCGAGGGTGGGGACTTGTCTCATATTCCTCACCAATAAATGTGGAAAAAGAGACAATTTTTTAACTGAATGGGGAAGCCACTCCTAAGATGAAACTGAGTTTTAAAGAGAAGATTAAGGAGAAAAAAGTATAACGTGAAAGTGATATTCTTCCGAGGAAAATAATGAGATATGACACAAACAACTCTACTGCCAAATCTTGAAAAATGAGTTCACAAAGTGTCATTTTTCAACTTAACATCTAATGTTATTCGTGAAAATTTGACTCATCTCTGAAGGAACAATGGTTTGCAGTAAATTCCCAGAATATTTTTTAGGATTAACTTCCAGGAAACTCCAAATAATTGCCATTTACTTAGCCAAATACAGTTTTTCACTAGGACTAATTACAAAGATCTTCAAGTGGACTGTTCAATGAATCCTTCTAAGATACGTACTTCTAAGGAAAGAAGTCATTCTAGAAACAGAAACTAGACTTATTTAGTCCTTCAATTGTATGGAAGAATATTTTATAAGTTGTCATAAAGCAAGAGTGAAAACAAAAATCCCCAGCAGCAATGATAATTGGATCTTCCCAGGAGAGCAACGGCAGACAAGTACATCAAGGCTTCCCACATATCCCTTTGACATCTGAATAGAGGTGAATTTTGTTAAAATAAAGATCTAAGTATTTATTTGGTGAGGAAATGAGCTCACTAATGATCAAAGCTTAATGGATATTGAAGAAAATAGAAAAAGGCATTCTTATACCTTTAAGATCTGGTCTGGGTAGGAAGGGTTCAGGTTAGTTGGTGTGTGCATGAACTATACGTTTTTTGTTTTTGTTTTTTTTAAAGGTAATGGTGAAGGTACTACCTTCTGTCCAAGTTGATTCCTCCATCACTGAAGCCAAACTACAGTAGTTTTGCCCAAACTTGGCAATTTGAAGTGCTGAAAATATTGTAGAAAAGCACTGAATCTTAAAATCTTACTAGCTGCCATTTACTTCGTGACCCTGAATAGCCATCAACCTTCATTCCCTTATCAACTTTAAGGGACAGGAAAGGGATTATATAAATGGAAACTTTGAAAAGCGTTGTGTGAACTATAAAACACTACACAGGTAAGAAGTATAAAGGACTACAATGATTTAGACAATTCAGAGAAAAAATGTAGTGTGAACCTTTTATTTTGATCAAACAAACTTTTACAAATTATATACTCTATAAACTCCCAAAGTTTCACTCATTTAAAAAATAAGAGACAAGGCATACTGGACTCACAAGATTTCAGTCATGAATAAAATAGTACCAGATTTTCAAGTTATATAAACTAGCTGCATTTTACATACCATAAAAGTGTAGAGAATTGTGACCAAACATTCACTAGTTTCAAGTGTACCTATAAGAAACACATGGATATACTTGGGTTGTCTACCCTACAGTTTCCTATCAACAAACATCTAAGTAATTGACATATATGGCAGACACAACTCCACAAAATCAAATTACACAGATCATTTGCTTTTAATAATCTCAATTTGGAAACTGAAAAATAAGAGGAATGTAGAGTTTAAGTAGATGAAAATGCTATACGTATTGCACACAAGCACATAATGACAAGGAATGTTAGAAGTAGTTCCCCTCAGGAATGATTTTTGAAAATTTAGAGTTTATTGGAAAATTTAAAATCTTTAGTGTGAAAGGCAGGTTAAATGAAGTATTGACTCAATCTCTAAAAATCCGGTAAATTATAGATTTTGTGCAATTAGTTACTAATATAGACGTTTTGAGATTAATACTGACTTTAATAGAACATTTAGATGGCTCTGAAGTATCTACTTTTTATAGTTCACTTTAGCTTTATATGTCAATGAAATATAAGATTCCAGGGTGCCTGGGTGGCTCAGTTGTTAAGCCCCTGCCTTCGGCTCAGGTCATGGTCCCAGGGTCCTGGGATGGAGCCCCACATTAGGTTCCCTGCCCCGCAGGAAGCCTGCTTCTCCCTCTCGACTCCCCCTGCTTGTGTTCCTTCTCTCGCTGTGTCTCACTCTGTCAAATAAATAAATAAAATCTTTAAAAAAAAAAGAAATGTCAGATTCCTTGGTGGGAAGTTATATAGCTTGTTCTGCACTAGATACAGGTAATCTGTATATGATTCCAAACAAATGACTGCTTTTCACCTTCAAGGAACCTCTATTTATACAAAATTAGACTGTTTTTATCCATATGTATGGATAAAAGTGCTTCTCAAAGGTACCTAGCCCACTTCCATAATCCTAAAAAAAAGAGCACACAAATGGATAATAGTTTCTATATTTTATGTGAATATTTTTGATATGTCTTTAAACAAATTCAATTGCTATCTAGAAAGGTTGACAAACTTGGTACAAATTTCTCCTACTTGGGAAAGTAAAGATCTAAGAACTCTCTTAAGTCTCCAGTTCTGCGCCATTTATATACTGGTTCATTCACATTTATACACATCTTATGTACCTCTATGGGCTGCAGGTACTTACATTTCAGCAGTTAGGACACCAAAAAAAAACTGAGAGAGAAGGACTTGTTAGAATTAGTCTCCCAAAAAGTTGTTTTGAATCTTGTTACAAATTGATTTAATATGCTTGTGAGTTAAATTTTATATTATATAGACGTTTACCTTAACAAATTTTAATGAAATGTGATTAAGAACTACACTTAACTCTGTAATCTTAAAGAAAGGTATTTTTCATTTATATACAAAAGAATTCAATAGCCAGCAGCATTTAAATAAATAGTCCCATCTCTTCTCTTTTCCCTTTTATAAAGTGCTATTTTTAACTGGGTAGATTTACTATCCAGCTTTTCAATAACTTCACTGTACGTCTCTAAGAAATTCAAGGAAACATTGGAAAATTGAAAGTCTTTAGTATTATAAACATTTGCAAACATTGCTACAAAGCACAGACTATGAGCACAATGAGTGTACTTTATTAGTAAAATAAAAAGTGTACCTTATGTGAGAATCATTGATTTAATAATTACTCCAATTTTTGCTAGTCGTCTAAATCAGAAACAGATTCTGTAGGCAATTCACATCTAAGTACCACCAAATAGGGTCATGTCAAATAGAACCAATGGTTATATGATCCCTAGAATTAAAACTCTGGCAAATTTAGACTTATAATAGCAAAACAAATTAGTGAGAATCAGAACCAAAGGCAATGTTTTACTTAAAAGTACCATAGGTTGTTAAGTGTTCTCTTTAAATAAAAATTTGTGTAGTTATTAATAATGTACCTTAACACTGAGTGCAGTGATACTAGAGATAGTTAAGAGGAAACCACACTATAGATTACCTCAAAAATGAATGTTGCCTGTATCTTTAGTTCAGTGATTAAAGTTGAAATTGCTTTTTAAAAAAATAGTTGAGCACTACTTACAACACAAACAGGATACCATTTTTATTCACATTATTCTCTAAATGGTATTGTCGCTTTTCAACTTTGACCTGACCTTCAGTAGTATTTTAAAAGGTAAATGCAATTTGTAAAAAACAAAAAACCAGAGCAGTATGTAGTTTTGTTCACACTTACAATTTCATTACAACCTGCATTTCTTGTTGCTCTTGGAAGAGTAATCACTTTTAAAAACAGAAACATGAAAGTGCAATATTCCTTATTTTGCATGGCATCCAGTAATGGTAAAATCAAAGGAACCCTCAATCATCAATTCTGTACACCCAATTTAAATACATTTCCAGTCCTCAGAAACAGGGACTCCAGGGCAGAGGGGTGGCATAGGGAAAAGAGGCCTAGGGCACGGTTTGATGAAAAAAATCACTGGAAACCTACTTCACAGAGAATGGTAGGGGGAATTCCTCCCACCCATTCCAACTCCCCAAGTAAGAATGCAGAATTTAGCCTCTTTTCTGGTCTCTCTTCCTTGCCTACACTGTGTATTCTATTCCTGAAGACCAATAAACCTAGAATTTCCTAAAAGGAATTATTTTTACCCAAATACATTGGACTTCGGCCTCAGTTTGAATGAGGATGAGTGGCCTTTAAGAGGCCGGTCCTCCTCTTCCTCCTCCCCCTCCTCCAGTGGCTGCTCCGGGTCTCTGAAAGAGGGTGTAGTGTGGATGATCTGGGTGCGGAAGCGGATTTTGTTGAGTCTGGGTTTTATTCGTCCACTAGAGCTGCCGGGGCCCTTGCGACCTGGATCCTTTGCTTTGGCTCCAGCCCATCCCTCAGTCAAGTGCTGGTGGTGGTGGTGATGATGGTGATGATCCCCTCCATCCTCCAGAACATGTGAGAGTTTGTAGGTGATGAGGTGTGAAGGGAGCACCTTTGAAAGCCTCCAACGCCCACCCCCGCTGCCAGTGGCACTCTCTCCATCGTCCTCGTCCAGGGCTCCCACCAGGTTCTTGATTTCCTCCGCGATGCTCTGACTCAGGTACTGAGAGGCCTTTTTCCCACTGTAGTCCCTGATGTCCACGTCTGCGTCGTAAGCCCCCACCAGCAACTTCACCACCTCCACATGCCCGTGCATGGCAGCTAAGTGCAGGGCAGTGTAGCCTCCGCTTGTCCTGGCGTTGATGTTCACTGGCAGCTGGTGTTTGTTAGCGAAGTTGACCAGCATGGCCAGGAGCTCCTGTCTGCCGTGCTTGGCGGCCCAATGCAGGCAGGTGAAGCCAGTGATAAAGTCTCGCTTGGCGAGCAGGCCGGGCTCGCAGGTGAGCAACCCTTCCAGGCTGTCCCACTTGCCTTCAGAGGCTGAGAGCATCCAGGCGTGTTCTAGAGGGTCCAGCGTCACTGAACCCCCGCCGCTGCTCTCCTCCTCTGCCGACGACGAAGCGACTGATGCGCTGTCTGAGTCGCCCCCGCCTTTGCCGCGTAGTCCCCCAGAGGAGCTGCCCGGGCTGCTCCCCCCGGGACAAACGCTCCTCTTCAGCTGCGGGGAGCTGCCCATCACAAGGTCCCGGAGGTTCTGGCGGGTAGACCTTGGGGTGGTTACGCCCCCGGGGGAGCTGCCCGAGTCCATCTCGCCGCAGCCGTGGGGCGGGGGCGCCAGGTCCTCGCTGGGCCCGGGGACCGGTCCCCGGGGGGGAGGTTGCATGTCTCGCCGCGAGTTTTTCCTCCGGGCACCGCCGCTCAGGCGCAGCCCGTTCCGGCTCTCGCCCGCCGCGCTTGGCCGCCCAAGCGCTGCGGCCGGGGGCTCGCAACGTGGACTTGGGGACGCCTCCGGGGACGCCGTCTCTGCGCACAGGCCGCTCTCCCGGGTCTCGACCAGGCCGTCGGGCGCCCCAGGGGCGCAGCTGCTGGACTCGGGCTCTGCAGTCACCGAGATGCTGGGGAGGTCCCGTGGGGGCACGGCTTCGGACGGTGGGGCCTCCTCCAAGAACCTCTTCTTAAGGTGCACGTACTTAGAGCCGTCGGCAGGGTCGGTGCGCACCGTAGCCACCGCATTGACCAGCTCCTTGAAAAGGGCGCGGGCGCGGGTGCGCTGCTCGGGCTCGCCGCCCAGGGCACCCCTGAAGTGCCGCACCAGCTCGGCGTGCCGGGCCCGACCCCCGCGCTCCGAGAGGAAGCGCAGCACGGCTTCGGGGCTGAACTCCGCCGGCCCCTCCATCCTTGGCCGCGCTGCTCGTCCGGCGGCGGGCGGTTCAACCCGGCCCCATCTCGGCCGGCTTCCAAACGCTGGCTTCTGACCGACGTACAGTCGAATCGGCTAGCTCCTCAGGGTCCGTGCCTGGCTGTCCGCGGCGGGAGACGCCACCACCGCCTTACTGGGGCCGCGCCCCGGGCGAACACGCCCCCGCCGGCCCCGCCCCCGCCGGCTGCACCCCGCCCCCGAACCCGCCCACTTCCGGTCCCCGTGCTGGCCGCAAGCTCGGCTCCCGCCGGCCGCCGGCGGGCACGCCCCCTCCCCGCCCCATGGCCCGCCCACTTCCGGCCTTCGCGGGGGCCCGCAATCAGTGCGCCCGCCCGCTGCTGTCCGCTGGCCGAGGTTTGTTTCCTCGCATCTTCTTCCTCAGGTCCCGAATCTCCTCCAGTCACCCTCCCCCTGCATGAATTTGTCGTTCTATGAGACGTCGAGGGGCACTCCTATGAGAGGCTCGCTTCGCGCGCCCGCTCAACGATTTGGCGCGGTTAATGGCGCGCGCCCCGCCTAGTGGGGGCCTCCGCCCTCCGGCTCTGCGCCCTCGCGTCACTGAGGCCACTAGGCTTGGCTCCTCCCCTTTCCCCAACACCCCCTCCATGCTACCCCCCTCCCCCAGCGGAGGCTGGTCCCGCCCGTTACACCCGCCTCCGGCCCGCGCTTCGCGCGTTCCACCCGTTCCGGCCCCCCCTTGGTTCCCTTCGTGGTCCGGACGCTCGCTCGGGAGCCGGGGCTGAGACCCCCGCTTCACTGGGACCCCCGCCTTCGCTCAGCTCTCGCTCGGGACCATGACCTCTGAGGTGGCGCGGCACCTGGTGAGTCCCGGTCGACCCCTCAAGCCCCCTTCGCTGCTCAGCGCTGCCCCCTCCCCCAAGGGCCCAACTCCCAGGACCCCCGCCCCGCCTTTCCCGGGGTCCTAGCGTAACTTCCTTAGCCCGGGGCTCAGGGCCGGCAGCCCAGTCCCGGCCCCGTCCAGTTCAGGCGGCGATTGTGAGCCGCGCCCCTCCCCAGCCCTTAACTGCCCACTCTCCGGGCTCCCGCGGCCGGCTGGTCCAACCCGGTTGGGAATGGGGGGATTCTCTTCTGCTGCAGCGGAGGAGACGCCCGGCGTGGCTGTACCTCGCCTCCAGAAGCGAGGCCCAGGGCGGACCCCCACAGCTCGCGGAGAGCGCGGTGCTGGAGTGGCTGGAGGTTTTTTCATTGCTTCCCTGTCTCGCCAAAAGTTAAATCTGAAACAGTGATTGTGGGTCCATCATTTTTATAACGGTTTTGGGCGCACAGAGCAGATTAATGCAATAGTAGTGTAATATTTTATGGTTGTACACTCTTCCCTGACTATACCCACTGGAGCCCAGATTCCTTGGACTTTCAAGAAGCTCCCTCTTTTTACCAACTGTGCGCTTGTCCAAGTTGTCCTCCATTAGGATTTGAGCTTTTTTTTTTCCTTTGCCTTGGCACCCTTGAACATTAAAAGAACGTAAGTTTTGTTCAATGATTTGTTCAGTGTTTTATACTTTTAAAATCACTTAAATATTTACCTCATTTGATAGTAAGCCAGTGGTTCTCAAGGTGTGGTCACAATTATTTTCATAACAATACCAAGCAGTTATTTGCCCTTTTCACCCTCTTTCTAAGTACACATTGAATTTTCCAGAGACTGCATGAGGTGGGATGACCTCACCATTCTGAGGGCTAATGTGTGTACTTGTCTTCTAAAAAAATTCTCTTTTAATTACTAATGCTGTAAACATTAATGTTTGTAATCCAGGTAAGTGAAAGCTCTTTGGGGGCCTGAGACCAAAATGTTTGGGAACTACTGGTCTAAGCAATCTCCTAAATTAGTTTAGATAGTAGGAACAGAGTTCAGATTGTAGCCATAGAGGTAAGGTGATGTGTGGAAGTTATACAGCGTTTCTTTGATAGAGCCTGGATAAGGACTTTTCTCCCTGATACAGCCCAGGTCTCTTTCCACTTTTATCACGTGTTTGGTGAAATCTGTTTTTCTGTCTGAACTGTGCTACAGTTGCTTGGTGTGCGTATGTAGGTGAGGAAAATGTGTTTTATAAACTCTGATTCAGAGTAATTGTCAGAATTAAACGTGGGCTAAAGAGAGCACTTCATTTAATTGGTGTTGGATTTCTTGTCAGTTGCTGTACTTATTTTGCAATAATGCTACCTTTATTTTCTAATTTAACTTTTTATTTTGAGGTAATTGAGGATTCAGATGTAGTTTTGCAGTTAGTAAATAATAGAGATCCCCTGTACCCTTAATCCAGTTTTCTTCAATAATAACATCTTGCAAAACTGTAGTACAAGACCACAACCAGGACATTGCTACTGATAACTGTGAAGATAGAGAACCTTCCATCACCACAGGATCCCTCAGGTTGTCCATTTATACCACATCCACTTCATTTCTACCCCACTTCCTCCTTAACCCCTGACAACCAGTAATCTGTTTTTCATTTCTGTAATTTTCTCATTTTAAGACTGTTATATAATGGAATCACATAGTATGTAACCTTTTGGGATTGGATTTTTTTCATGGAGCAAAATTCTCTGGAGATTTCATCCAGGTGGTTGCATGTGTCTTTAGTTTGCTCCTTTTAATTGCTGAGTGGTATTCCATGGTATGGATGTACCACACTTTGTTTGAAGGACATTTAGTTGTTTCCATTGTTGGGCTACTATGAATAATGTTGTTGTAAACATTCCAGTGCAGTAACATGTCATGTCATATAAGTCTTCATTTCTCTGGGATAAATGCCCAGGAGTATAGTTGCTGGTTCACAAGGCAGTTGCATGTTTAGGGTTTTTTTTGTTTTTTAAAAGATTTTATTTATTTATTTGTCAGAGAGAGAGAAAAAGAGAGAGCAGGGGGAGCGGCAGAGGGAGAAGCAGACTCCCGGCTGAGCAAGGAGCCCGATGCGGGACACCATCTGAGGACCCTGGGATCATGACCTAAGCTGAAGGCAGACGCTTAACCGTCTGAGCCACCCGGGTGTCCCGCATGTTTAGTTTTGATGAAAAACTGTTAAAATTGTTTTCCAGAGTGTCTGCACCATTTTACATTCCCACCAGCAATGTATGTGGGGTCAGTCTCTCCACATCCTCATCAGCATTTAGTGTTCCTATTTTTTATTTAGACATTTTGATAGATATGTATGTATGTATGACAGGTATGTGGTTTTAATTTGCATTCTCCTAATGGTTAATGATGTTTAGCATCTTTTCATGGGCCTATTTGTCATCTGCATATTCTCTTCAGTGAAATGTCTCTTCATTTCTTTTTTTTTATTATGTTCAGTTAGCCAACATATAGTACATCATTAGTTTTTGATGTAGTGTTCAATGATTCATTACTTGCATATAATACCTAGTGCTCATCACAAGTGTCTCTTCATTTCTTTAGCCCATTTGCTAATTGGATTTTTTTACTGTTGATTTTCGAGGGTTTTTTTTTCTTTTTTAAAAATTTGTCTGGTGCCAGTCCCTTCTTGATATGTAGTTTGCAAATGTTTTCTCTCAGTCTGTTGTTTTTTTTTCTTGTCCTCTTAAAAGACTCTTTTGCAGAGCAAAAGTTTTTAGTTTTGATAAAATCTGTTTTAACAGTTTTTCCTCCAATGGATTATACTTTTGGTGTTAAGTCATAGAACTCTTTGCCTAACCTTAGATCCCAAACGTTTTCTCATTTTTTTCCTAAAAGTTTTATAGTTTATTATTTTACATTAAGCCCATGACCCGTTTTTGTTTTTTTTTTTTTAAGGTTTTGTTTATTTTAGAGAGAGAGTGTGAATGGAGGAAGGGGCAGAGGGAGAGGGAAAGAGAGAATTCAAGCAGACTCCCTGCTGAGGGTGGAGCCCTGCTGCAGGGCTCCATCTTATGACCCTGAGGTCATGACCTGAGCTGAAATCAAGAGTCAGACTCTTAACTGACTGAGCCACCCAGGAGCCCCAAGCCCATGACCTGTTTTGAGTTAGTTTTTGTATAAGGTTTAAGACTAGATCAAGTGTCATTTTTTGGCTTGTGGGTGCTCCAACACCATTTGTTAAAAATGCTATCTATCCTCTGTTGAATTGTTTTTGCACTTTGTCAAAAAGCAGTTGAGTATATTTGTGTGGATCTATTTGTGGGTCCCTATTAGCACACAGCCTTGATTCTTGTAGCTGTATAAGTCTTGAAATAGAGTGGATTGGTACTTCTCACTTTTTTATTTTTCTTTTTTTTTTAAGATTATTTATTTATTTTATTTATTTAAAAGAGAGACAGAGATAGCGAGAGAGAGCACAGGTGGGGAGAAGAGGGAGAAGCGGGAGAAGCAGGCTTGCCACCAAGCAGGGAACCCGACACGGGGTTCGATCCCATGACCTAAGTTGAAGGCAGATGCTTAACCGACTGAGCCACCCAGGTGCCCCTATTCTTATTTTTTCAAAAATTATTTGGTTATTCTAGTTCCTTTGCCTTTCATTATAAATTTTAGAATATTCTTGTCAATATCTACAAAGAATTTTGCTAGGATTTTGATAAGGATTACATTAAATCTATCAATTTAGGGAGAATTGAAATCTCTCGTATGTTGAGTCTTCCAACTTACAGACATGGTGTCTCTCCCCATTTCTTTATATTTTCTTTCATTTCTTTCTTCAGCATTATGTAGTTTTCAGCATACAAGTCTTGCATGTTTGATTTACACCCCTTTCATTTTTTTAAGCAATTGTAAATTATATTTTTAATTTTATCATCCCTATATTCATTGTTAACATATAGAAATACAGTTTATTTTAGTATATTTATCTTGTGTCCTTTGACCTTGCTGAATTCATTTATTCTTGAAGCTGGGATTCCTAGTGCATTCCTTGGGATGGTCTTCATAGAAAATCATGTCATTTGCACATAGAGACAGTTTTATTTCTTTCTTTCCAATCTGTCTTTTCTTGCTGCCTTATTTGTGCTGCTTAGGACTTGTAGCATTATTTGAAAAAGAGTGGTAAGAATAGATGTTCTTGCTTTGTTTGTGATGTTGAGGGGAAGACATTCAGTCTTTCATCACAGACGCAGATTTTTTTGTAGATTTCTATCAATTCATGAGGGATATTGGCCTGTAGGTTTTTTGTATTGTCTTGGTCTGGTATCAGAGTAATAATGGCTTCATAACATTAATTGGGAAGTGTTCCCTCCTTTTCTTTTTCTAGAAGAGTGTGTGTAGAATTGGTGTTAATTCTTTTTTAAATGTTTGATAGCCTTCTTCAGTGAAACCATCTGGGCCTGGAGGTTTCTTTTTTAGAGTTTTAAAATTACAGATTTTATTTCCTTAGTAGTTATGTGGCTATTAATATTATTTCTTATTGGATGAACTGTGGTAATGGGTTGTTTGGTGATCCATTCCTTCCCAGTTGTTAAATTTATGTGTATAGAGTTGTTCATAATATTCCCTTTATTATCGTTTTGATGTCTTCAGGGTCTGTAATGATGTTCCCTGTAACATTCCTCATAGGGTTAATTTGTGTCTTCTTCCTTTCTTGGTCCATTTTGCTAGAAGTTTGTCAATTTCATCTTTTCAAAGAACTCGCTTTAGTTCATTGATTTTTCTCTATTGTTTTTGTATTTAAATATAATTTATTTATCATCTTACCTTTATTTATTTATTTTTGCTTGTTCTCAGTTTCTTTTGCTCTTCTTTTTCTCAGTTTTTGAGGGTAGACCCTAGATCACTGATTTGAGACTTTTCCTCCTTTCTAATAAATATATGGACTTGGTGGTGTGAATTTCCCTCACAGCATAGCTTTAGCTGTGTCCCACAAATTTGGGTATGTTG